GAAGGTTTGTATTTTATTCCTAATTAATTTTTGTTTATATGTCTATCTTTAGTGGAGAAATAGACATTTATTTTTTTCTAGTTTGTTTTAAATTTGGTAATTCTGAAAATTTAATTAGAATATTGATGGAAGAATATGGAAGGCTGAAAAAATTAAAATGGAAGTTTGAATAAGGGAGATGAAAATGTGCATAGGAATTGGAGAATTGCTAGGCTGTGAAAATAATGCATTAATGCTGACTTAATTGATTCCTAAAAATAAATGTAAAACTATAGAAAAATATCAGCTTTTTCTACTTACAGAAAAAAAAGGCAAACAAAAATTTAAAAAATTAAAATGGGGCCCTCTGTTCTGTGCAAGAGACCTTCTTGCACTCCTCTTTCTATGGCCTTGGTTGAACTTCTATGAGTTGTTTTATTCATCTGATTTTCAAGATAAAAAAATTAGTTTCAATAATTTCAATGATATTATCAAATGAAGTTGTTTTATTATTGATTGATTGAACCAAATGATCATATGATTTAGTTTTATCACTTGTATTAATTGACTCATTACAAAGTTGACAATGTCCAATTTGAAAATATAGGCCCGCCAATAACTATATGCGTAGATGTGTGTATGTATTCCTTCAATAGGAGCTTCATTTATGTACATTCTCTTATATTGATTATATTACTTTCTTTCTTATAAAAAAAAGTATTAGCAAGGCTTGACCTAATGTTAAAGCGTTTGATTGATCACATTGCAGTTTGAAGGTAGTCATTTTGTGATTGAATTTTGGGTGGGGTTTTTTTGGGATGATGTTTTGCTTATCCTATCCCATCACTCTCAACGAGTCTGACTTACAAAGTTAAATTGCATTGACAATTCTCCTTATTTTCAGTGAGTCTAACCAACAAATTGAATTTCATCAATGCGAAAGAGATGCTAATTCAGTTGTAATGAGTGCCCGTATTAGTCAATGTTACACTAAATAATCTATTGCAATACCTATTTTGGTTGACTTTAAGTCTTTTTATTTATTTATTTATTTATTTATTAAATTATTTCTATTATTAAAGATAATGATTACTATGTCTTTAGTGCTAGTTGTATAAAACATAGGCAAATTTGTTGTTGTCTCACTTCTTACAATCTGACATAGTCAGACAAGACCATATGTTTTCTCATTTTAAACAAAATGTTATTACAACTACAAAATTATTTTAGGAAATGGAAGCTTCCATTATTTTCATCTCCAACGATATACGAGTACTTTTTTAACGGTTCAGGATATTCCTGTATTTGCTTAGAATATTGACAACTAGGCATGATAGATTGATAATTAATTAAAGGATAAATTAGGACGTTACTATATTACCTTGGGAGTGAAGTTTGTGGAAGCATTGACTTTGAAATGTGTGTAAAATGCACCAAATTGAATTATAAATTGATGATTTCTCCTAGTTGGTATCAATGATTTTTTTGAAGATTTTATCTAAGGTTATTAGGTCTGTTCTATTTACTTGATTTTCATTTAGTTAAACTTAAATGTATTTAATGAACTTATCTTTACTTAGGGTGTATTCTACTCACCTGATTTTCACTTATCTGAACGTATTAAAACTTATATAAGTTGTAATTTGTAATTGGGAAACCCTTATCAGAACTTATTAAACCTGAACTGATTATCTGAACTTATAACACCTGAAATAAGTAAAAATAAGGTGAACAGAACAGACCATTAACTGAATTTACCTGAACTTATTAAAATTTATTTGAATTTAGGTAATCCGTATCAGAACTCATTTTCCCTAAACTAAACTTATCTTAACTTAACTAAACTTATTTGAACTTATTTTAACTTAATTGAACTTATTTGAACTTATTAGACCTCAAATAAGTCAAAATAAGGTGAACAGATAGGCCATTAGTTAGAATCTTATGATATACTGAGTTCAATAATCTATTGATAACCAATAGATATTTTTTGAATCGATGCTCTGTAATATTGCCTAAGGTTATTTAGTTATGAAATTTCAATGTTAACATCAAAATGAAACGATAGTAGTATTAATCTTGGAATTTATGACAAAATTATGCGACGTTTAATATAATATATGTCAAATAATTCTACTTTTACTTTTTAAATTTGACTTACGATTGAGTTGTATATACCATTTTCATTAAAATTAGAGTTGTATATATAAGTTCAAAAAATTGTAGATAATATAAGTTTAAATAATTTCTCATTCATATACAATATAAATTTAGATAGTATAAATTCATTTTAAGAAATTTGAAACATACCACCAACTATTGTTCACATTTTAGACAATACCACTTCAAGGTTTTTTTTTTATTTTTTTTACCACCTAGTTTTCTCAAAACCAAAAAAATCTCCTACCACTTTTGCCCAACTCCACTATATGACGTTACGGTGGGTCCCACTACCAATTGTACCTCTCTTTCCCTTTGATTCTCACCTATGTTCTTCTTTCTTCTTCCTCTTTGTCTAATTTTAAAATCAATTTGTGAATCAGTTAGGCGTTATTTAGGGTTTAAATTCGCTAATTTGTTCTTCAACCCAAACGACAATGCAAAAACGAGGGCATAAAGAGTTTTGTTTAATTAGGGTTTATAAAATCAATTTGGGGGGTTTTCAATTGAAATTAGGGTTTATAAATTAAATTTGGGGAGTTGATTCTAAGGTTAATTAGTTGCAAAATTGGTTAATTAGGAAGAAGAAAGGTGAAATTCGTAGGAAGGGAGAAGGAAAATTGGTAGTGGGACCCACCGTGATGTCATATAGGGGAATTGGGAAAAAGTGGTGGGAGTTTTTTTAGTTTTTGAGAAAACTAGGTAGTAATATACAATTTTTTTTTTTTTTTAAAAAAAAAAAAAAAAAAAAAAAAAAAAAAAAAAACTTAAGGTGGTATTGTCTAAAATGTGAACAATAATGATATTTTTCAAATTTTACATAATTTTAGGCTTAGTAAGTGCTAAAATGAATCAAACTGAGCCCAAATTCAAACAAGATAAGTTTATAAGATAAATTCTAACAAATGGAGTATTTCCTCTTCCCAACCATTAAAGGGGAGGGGTGGGGTAGGGTGGGGGAGATAACCGTCATCTTGATCCCTATGTCAAGATAACCATCATCTTAATCCATATATAGAGAGGGCTTTTAGAGGTCTTATTCCATTTATTCCTAATTAAATGCATCACTTTAATCTTGAAAGAAGATTTTTCTAACTTTATTTACCTTTTGGGTCTGTACTCTTCAGCTTATTATACTTGAATTTATTTGAATTGAGGTTATCTAAACTGAACTGAAATTATTTGAACTAAAGGGTGTATTCTATTCACTGATTAAGTTTTTACTTATCTGATCTTATTAAAACTTATTTGAGTTATTAAAACTTAGGGTGTGTTCAATTCACCTGATTTTCACTTAACTTAACTTATCTAAATTTATTAAACCTTATTAAACCTTATTATTTTAGTTGTAATTTATACTTGGGTAACCTTTAACAGAACTTATTTTTCCTGAATTGAACTTATCTTAACTTATTACACTTGAAATAAGTGACAATAAAGGTGTATTCTATTCACCTGATCTTACTTATTAAAACTTATTTTAGTTGTAATTTGAATTTGGGTTACCCTTATAATAATTTTTTTTTTAATTAAACTTATTAGACTCGAAATATGTGATAATAAGGTGAACAGAACATACTCTAACTAATTGAATTTATTAGATCTTATTAAACTTGTTTGAACTTATTATAACTTATTAGAAATTTCATCTTATTTTCACTTATTTAAGGTCCAATAAGTTTAGGTAAGCTTAGTTATTAAGTTTCTACAAGAAAAGTTAAGAAAAAAAAAGTTTTAATAAGGGTTACACAAGGTCAAATAACTTCAAATTATAACTAAAATAAGTTTCAATAAGGTCTAATAAATTTTGATAAGTTCAAATAAATAATAATAAATTCATATAAGTTTAGAGAAGGAGCAACTAGTTTTATTCAACGATAAGAGAAGAGTTTGAAGACATTACCCTCCTCATTCGATCATTCCTAATGCATTAGAAGAAAGGATATATTTCATACATAGAAAGTAATTACAAGTGATAATGTCCAGCTTATCGGTAACTAAATAATCAACATTAGCAATTTAGCATTCAAATCGGCTAGATCCTACTAGCTCCGTTCTGTAATAATCGAAACAGTTTGACTTTTGCACTATTCATATGCTTTTGAATATACTTTTCACCAATATACTCAAACCGTCTCATAATACAATGTCTCTTTTTCTTTTTGAGTAAAACAAAATACAATGCCTCTTTCTATTTAAAGGTTGTACTTTTTGACATTATTACCCTCTTTTTGATAAGTTGTCATCTTTTTTTCCCTTTTCTTTTTTTGTACTTATAAGAGTTATAACATCAATTTACAATACTTTCTCTCTCTATCTCTTCAGTTATTCCCGACTACTTTATCTTTCTCTCTGTCTTTCTCTAACCCCACACGCACATATGTACTTCTAATCATTAGTTTTAAGGAATTTACAACTTTCTTAATTCCCGCATAAAAACTCAAAGAAACATTGTATTATGAGACTAACGGTGTGTTTGGATTGAAGGAAATGGAGGGAACGGAAGGGAAAGAAAATGGAGAGGTGTGATATCTTTCATCTGGATAACAAATGAGGAAGGAAGGGAATTGGAGGGGAGAGAAATGGAGGGATTAAATTGTAGGAAAATGATCCCTCCAACAATGGAGAGATTTGGAAGGAAAACTCCCCATTTTTCCCTCCCCTTCTTTTCCTTTCTCTTTCTTTATCTAAACACACTGTGAGGGAGTGCTAGTATAAAAAATGGAGGGATAAAATTCTAGAAAAATGATCCCTCGAATTATTAAGAGATTTGGAAGGAAAACTCACTATTCTTGCCTCCCCTTCTTTTCCTTCCTCTTTCTTTATCCAAACACACTATGAGGGAGTGCTAATGTAAAAAATATATGTTGCCATATCAAATATTTTTAGATTAGTCTTTCGCTGTATTTTCATTATTAGTCAAAATATTACGATTATTATGATATGGATGAAATGTTATTATTATAAGTAAAAAGTACGGAGTTTTTCGTAGTCGACTCCGTATAGACACAATCCACTCTCCACGGAAACCCATAGACACGTCAGTGCCTCACAACGTCCCACTCCCCATTTATTTCTCCCTCACTTTCTCTCTCCTCAAGCCGCCAACTTTCAACGATCTCTCTCTTTCTCTCTCCTCCTCTGTTTCTTCGACTCTTCTGCTGGTGTGAAACCACAAAATTAAAAAAAAAAATATATTAAAAGATGGGTTTTACATTAGAACAACAATTGAAAATTCCCAGGTGATTTTTTCATAATTTCCCACGAAAAATTTTCATATATAGAGTGGGTCAAAATTAGATAGTAGGCAGAAAAACACAGAAATAAATATGGTTTATTCAGAATTTTAGAGGAAGAAGAAAATTTTCTTGACTCTTTCAGCTTAACTTCGAGGAATTTTCATGTAAGTTTCTTTCTTCTTTTTTCTTCTAATTCAAGTCACAAAATAATGTGTTCGATTTTAATCATATTTCCCCTGTTTTTTCTTTTCCTTTTTTTTTTTTTTTTTTTGTAATTTAATTTTTGAGCTGAAATTATAATTTCTTGACTTGGTTAGTTCATCTTCTTCAATCTTCAAGCTTGTTTTGTTGCGTAGTAAATGCGCCTACTACAGTACTAGGAGCTATTTCTTAATCGTAATAATAATATGCGTCGACAGTGTTATTAATGTTTATTTGATTTTGGGAATTCTACCAATTTTCTATTTTTATATTGAATTAAATTGCCTACTCGATCTGGGTTTATCCTATATTTAATGCAGACTGCTGAGTTGTTATTTTTACTATCTCGGAATTTGTGCAAATTCTCTTTTATTTTTCTTTGGATGTGTTACTTTTGATTGAAGTTGGTACAATCATTTTGAATTTTTCGTACATTACCCTATAATTTCACATAATTACTCCAGTTGAATTAGAGTACATTCTATAAATCGGATGAAAACGGAAAGTGGGATACTCATGGAGTAGAGTTTTAAGTGATAAAAGTGAAATTAGCAACGTTAGAAGCTAAAATGGAGGGACCAAAAATTGAAACTTGTTCAGTAGATATTTTTGCTTTTGCTTTAAAAAGGCTGTGAAATAACAACCCTTCTCCAACAACTCCCCCAAAAAGAAGGGATAACAAAAAGGGAAATTGGGATTTCCCCAAAAAGAAGGGATAACAAAAAGGGAAATTGGGATTTATATGGTATAGTACAAAAAAAGTTGGCTTTAATTCAAATATGCTGATTCTATATTACCTAATTTACAAATTTCTCTTGATTAACATTATTTGGATTTGTGAGTTTGAAACTTATCCATTTAAAGTTCTGGATATTTCATTTTTGTGAATCTTTATTGTGCTCTCCTCCTATTTTGCTTCTATATGTACTCGTGTCAGACTGTCATTTATAGGTTTATACGAACATTTTCGATATTTTATAGGGACAAGAATGCGTACATTTGATCATTTTGTATTGTTGTATCTAATCTATGTGATTCCTCTCATCCATGCGTGTTTTAGAATTTGTATTACAATGTAGGATTTCCTAGTAAAAATAAAATTAATGTATCTAATCTTGGATTAGTTTTCCATTGCCTAGGTTTTACAAGTAATAATTTACTTTACATTGATAAGCATCATGTACCCCACTATTTGATGCATTTGAGCAATCATACTAATGAAAAGCAGCACCAAATTCTAGGGAGTATTTGCTATCTTTACTACAGTACTTTCTTTTGATTAAATGAGATTATGAGCTACTTTTTCTTTTTGAGCTATTATTCTTTGAAATTTCTTGTTTGAAGCCTTAAACTTTGCACTATAGGAAATGTTAATTGTTAATCCTAGCTCTAAGAGATTCTATGTTTGATGAATTGGAAGAACTTGTCCCTGATCATGTATGCTCATAGCACACTAGTAAAATTAATCGAACATTGAGTCTGAAATTTCATTTGCATTTGCATCTTTTGGAAACCATGAAATGTGTGATCCTTTTTTATACATGTTACCGTCACCTGAGCTATTTAATGTGTCTTGCTCACCGATGATGTTACAAGGCGGGTTTTCTTTTAAGGGTGGCTCATATTTGAGATTGATTTGAGTATGGAAAGTTGGGTGTTAAATTCAGCTCTTTTTCTTTGTGCCAGATAGATCAGGAAAAGCATGACTAACAAACAGCAGTCAAATGTTCGATTAGTTAAATGTCCAAGATGTGCAAAGATCCTTCCTGAACCAGAACATGTTCCTCTATATGCCTGTGGTGGATGCGGTACAACTCTCCAAGGTAATACATTTTGTGGATAACTCGGCTAGTATTTGTTGTTTCTCTAAGCATGCTTTGTGATTTAGTTTCATAGTCTTTGATTTTCTGTTTATGCCTCCTTTTGTTAATCAAGGGGTCAAAGAGACAAAAACACCATGATTTGCTGAATTTCCATTTTTCACTTCTTTAGATTAACTTGCTCATTTATGCCCTGCATTAATTTTGTATCAATTAATTAGGGATTTAGGGCACACCATTACATTAAGGGATTGTAATTTAAATGAAATGCATAGTTATTTTGATGCTTTAGAATTGTTACTTCATTGTGTCGTTTGTGTATTGTGACAGACCTTGCAAACAAAATGAAATTTTGTTGGGCATAACTTTGTTCTTCTGTTTATTCCTGAGCTTATAACATTGCATAATTCAATGCAGCAAAAAATTACAGAGATTCCCGTAAAAACACAACATTGAGCTCGCATGAAAAAAATTTCAAAAAGAGTAATGGAATCATCCAAGCTCATAATGGTGGAGAATCTAGCAGCTCAAGTCGAAGATCAAGTTCTGCTAGTGAACAATTATCAGTTCAAGAAAAAGGCAGGGATCAGGAAACTGTTGAAAAATTAGGTGATTCTGAACAGAATGGAGCAGCAGATTCTTCCGAGCATACATTATTGTCTAAAGAGTCTAGTTTTCTCAAGAAAAATGGACAAGCAGACAGCAAAATGGACCAATTTGTTTTAAAGGATCGTAACGAAAGGAGGGATCGGGAAGCTGCTCAAAGTTCTGAGCAGAATGGAGCTGCAAGTTCTGTCAATCATATTGCAATCTCACAAGAGTCTAGTCTCATTGAGGATAAGGAAAATGGAGAAATAGACAGTAAGCTGGACCAAGTTGTTTTGAAAGATCAAAACGAAGGAAAGTATCAGGATTCTGTCAAAAGGTTAAGTAAATCTGAGCAAAATGAAGCTGCAAATGCTGCCCATCATTCAGCATTGTCAGAAGAGCCTCATTTCACGAAGAAAATGGACCTATTGGATTCAAAGGATCAGGTTCCTAATAATAATCCTACTGTCCTCGAGAACAAACAGCTGGAGCAACTTAACATGGGAAACTCAGTGTTAGAAGATAACAATGGTCAAGATGAACAGTGTGATGGCATTGTTGAGAATCACCATGAGAAACAGATAGGAGACGTGAATCATGACAAAGACACATTTACACCGGAAGATTCTCAAGTCCTAGGAAAAAAAGATGGTAAAAGCCTTGCTGTGGTAAGAGATTCAATGGAAGATGAGGATGATCAACATGATCAGAAGAAGGTTGGATATGTGAGCTCTGCCGAAGACACTTCTAGCCTGATTGAGTCTCCAGCCATCCAGAATCCAGCAAAATACCAAGTTTCTGATCACCAATTGCCTGAAGAAACCAGAAAGATGCACCTTCGAGGGAAATATTCTCACCAAGACCAACATAAGCAAAAGCAGATTGGATTTGAGATCTCTGCCAAAAACGCTTCTTCATTGATCGAGTCTCCAACAATCAAGAATCTGGAAGAACATGGTGCTTCTGAATGCGAAGTGTCCAAAGACACCAGAACGATGCACGTTGCAGGTGAACATCCTCATGACGATGAACATAAACAAAAGCAGGCTGGATATGCGAGCTCTGCACAGGACACTTCTTCAATAACCGAGTCTTCAGCCCTCAAGAAGCCTATACAGTTGAATTCTGAAAACTCAGCAGATTACAATGCTTTTGATCATGAAATGTCCAAAGAAATCCGAAAGGTTCACAATGTTGGGAAACTCTCTCATCAAGATGCATCGGAAAATGAGATTACATGCCTTGAGGCAGAAAAATCAGAGGTACAAAAATCAGGCAAGAAATATGGAAATGGGACTGGTCCTAACGATTTTGTAGAGTGCATAGCAGAGCGACTTGAAAATGTAAAGCTTTCAAGTGCACCTTCACACTCAGCTGAGATTAATCAGGGAGGAAATGCTGATTCGGTATCTGGGACTGAAGATGGCTTAGAAGCCTATGGAAGTCATAGTGTTTCTGTTCCTTCAAATGTTACAGATCTGAAAATTTCTCATGACAAGAGTACTACCAAGGTTTCAAGAGATACTCATCACGAGAAAAAATCATTAGACAATACCAAAGGAAGTTCAAAGAAAATAATTAAGAACTTCAAGGATAGTGATGTTTATTCAGACGGTGAATTTGGGAGTTTGCTGAAAGAAATTCCAAGATCTCCCACCAAAAGGTCCCCTGCTTATGATGGTAGTGTCTCTTCCTTCGATGGAAATGATGACCAAGTCCCAGGACAACCTGTTCAAATGGGTGAGAGAACATTGCCCACATTTAATGATGGTGCTGAAGATAGTCCTGAACGGGAAAACGTTATTTCAGAGAGAAAAATCTACAGGAATTCAAGAGTACAAACTCAAGCGAGAAGTTCTTCAACGATGCTATCAGATCAGAAGTTGAAAAGCAGCATGGTAGAGGAAGATGGACCACTAGAAGAGAATGGAATCCCTCCAAGAAACAACAGAATTAGGCCTGATAGAGACAGCTTCCTGCCTAGAGTTCCTTACAGCAGGAGAAGTTGTGAACTGGTCTATGAAACTGGCAGCTCTTCTAGTTATGCACTACGTGATGAACCCCTAAGCCATCAAATGCATCATCATCCTTACAGAGGAAGATTTCCTGAAGTGCCTGTTTATAGGGAAAAGGAGTTTCCTCCCAAGTACTATAACAGTGAAACATCAGGAGAAATTTATGACAGAACAAAGTATCAACATGCTTATATTGACAGAAGAAGGCGATCTGAAAGTTGGTCTCAGAGCGGGACCCTCCCACGGATGCCATATTCTGGAGAGATCTTTGATGGAAGGTACCCTTACATGCATCGGTACCCGGATGATCAAAGGTGGTCTGCGCAATTACCCCCACCTGCTGTCTGTTGCCACCAAGGGGTATGCATGGGTCCCACCTGGGGAAATAGATGGGACCCATATGACTCATACCCATCAAGTCCACAACGATTTGTGGAGTCAGAATCCTCCTGTGGTTGGGGTCATGAGACAATGTATCAGTCTGATGATCATAGGCAGAAAGATCAGGTCATGAGGAGATTGTACTTGAGGGAGAAACGACAAGCAGTGAAAAGACGGTATCATCCCATAGCAGGTGGAGCTCCATTCCTGACATGCTACTTCTGCCTCAACGTTCTACAACTTCCTGAAGGTTTTCTCCATTCCAGAAGAAGAAGAGGAAAGATAAACCACAAGCTGCAGTGTGGTGCTTGCTCTAGAATACTAAAAGTTTCCCTCGAAAATGAAGGTTGTATTGCTCCTTCTGAAGCTTGTGTTGACAAGAATGTTAACCTAGCTGCGTCTTCACATGTGAATCATTCTCGTCGGGGCAGCTTAAATTCTGCAGATGGTAGAGATTTGCTTTCACGTGATACCTTTGGAACTTCTGGTCGAGAAAAAAGAAAGGTTATTCCTGGAAGCTCGAGGAATAGAGAAAGAATGGAAGATTCAGACGATGCTGCACCTCATGCTACTCGAGGAAGAGAGTCAAAGGTAACCTGGAAAATGCCTGCGAGGAGTAAGTCACCACTTCATAGGCTCATGGGCTACTCTTCACCCCAGGACTTGTTAACTGGGCGTGAAGATGAAGATGATGTGATTCAGACGATGCTGCACCTCATGCTACTCGAGGAAGAGAGTCAAAGGTAACCTGGAAAATGCCTGCGAGGAGTAAGTCACCACTTCATAGGCTCATGGGCTACTCTTCACCCCAGGACTTGTTAACTGGGCGTGAAGATGAAGATGATGTAGAGTGATGGTCTGAGTTTGGAAATTTAAACAAAGAAAAACCGTTCATTTTTCATAGAATTAGCAAGCTACGAATCGTAACAGATTCATTTTTCCTGATGCACTCTGGAGATTGTTAAGGTATCGTGACACGTCTGATTATTAGTAATCATAGTAGATGGTTAAGGACAGAATATATTTTCGATTCTATACATAGAGTTGCCTTGTAATATATTTGATGTGTATAAATTATCTTGATTTGATTGTTTGAAAAATGTTCTCAGATATATAGAAAATTTCAATTTTTTTGAATCGAGCTTCTGTGTAATTATCTTGTAAACTCAATTTACCATTTCAGGCTGTGATCAGATCATTAGAATACTGGGATCTTGCTTATTCTAAACTTTACTGCACAGAAAATGCAAATGTTCCAAAACCTGTAAATTTTAATTCTTCACTACACAAGAATGGAAAACCTTCTAAATCTTAGTACACCATTCCAGCCTTCAATCCGTTTTGAGTGTCGTGCTCCATCAGTCCACCACTTTCAACCACCATCACCCACTGCCTCTCCATCAAACCACCATCCACGTCCACAAATACTCATGCCGACTTGTCCTCCCACCCTCATGAATGTAGACAGATTTAATTCATTTATGTTAGACCGAGTTCACATAGAATAGTATGCAAAATTCAGCCGCTTATTTTAGCTCTGGAGAATGCTAACAAAGTGTATCATACACTTGGGAGCAACATGCATTGAGCGCAACTGCGCATGTATGCCCCTTTTCATAATCAAAATGTCTGATTTTGGACGAAACAACTATTAAATACATGATGTTTCGGGTGAAAACAATGGGTTCTTCGTCTGGACCTTTCTTGTGGGCTGAAGATTGGACTCGGCCCAATTGATGACTGGGACGAGGGTTTCCTGCACAGCAAACACACGTAAACTGGCCTCAGGGGTTGTGCCGAGGAAGGCCCATTTGATGCCGAAGTCAGTACAATGTTTTCTAGAGAGAGAAAACTATGCAAAATAATTAATTGCTTGAGGATTTATGTAAATGAATTGAGAGAGAGAGAGAAGTGAAGGCTTTTATACATTACTCAAATAAATTAAATGGGCCTTGAAGCCAAGTGGGCTTGCCACGTTGACTAGGCCTGCTATGATTGACTTGGCATGCTTGGGAGAATTTAACCTCCTTTGGGCTTGTAATTGGATCATTTGTAGACTGACCGAATTGGAATAAATTAGACCCAAACAACTTGTCCCCCAGACTCGGTTTGGAAATTTGACGAATAAGGTTTTGACTTGCAAAATGGAGGGAAGCAAATGATTTACTTACCATTTGAATTTATTGTGGGAGTTATTAAAATAATAACGGCTGTTTTGAGTTAATGGGGAATGTGGATAGTTTAGTGGGAGATTAACGTGAGAAGAATACGAAGAGGTAGAGCATTGAAGTGGAGTTAGTGGGGGCTTTAGTGGCCCGAACTCCCAAACTTACTGAGTCGGCAGGCATATACACCACTCATCCCACTCTCTCTCCTCATTTCAATTTTTGCTAATTTCGAATTGCTTCTCATTAATCACGGCCCTTAAACTCCTTTCCTTTTTTCACTTGTATTCAGCAATCCGAGGCTTGAAACCAGAATTTGTTGCTCCGAACTTATAAATCGACAAATTCTGCATCTGGACAAGGTAATTTTCTTCGGAGTTTCTCTGTTTTTTCTCGCTTTTTTCGAAAACCCCCTTTTCCGTTTATTCGCACAACCACCGTTGGAAATGGCTGGCAACCGTGGAAAAAGAAAAGTAGAGGCTGAGCCGAATGTAGAGGAGGAGGAGGAGGTTCCGTAGTTGATTACGCGGCAGCCAGCCTTTGGCGATGATGCCACCTCTCAGCGACCAGAACCCTAGGGTTAGGATTGGTTCCGCCGCCGCTCTTAGCGACTCTGCCATCAGTGCCGTCCCAATTAACGTTTTGCCCCACAAGGCTTCGGGATCGACCAGCACCTCTGGCCGAAGCGGACCTTCGGCATCTAGGCATTTGGCTCCTGAAGAAAGGGGTGGCTGGAAGAGGCTGCGGATGCGGGCATTATGAGTTTCCCCCCATATGATTGGTGGGTTAGAAATGATGTCGAATTCAAGTTTGCCGAGCAAATTGAAGTTTGGTATGGGATTATGGAGGAGGATGGGTATTGGTGCCGAATGCCCACTTCGGATGAACGGATTCACCGCCCTCTGCCAGGTTATATCGGAGTTTATTTCAGTTAGCTACAATACGGGATTCGGTTCCCACTTCACTCTTTTTCAACCCAGGTGTTGAACGGTTACAACATATCCTTGTTTCAGCTGACGCTAGTGAGCATCCGAAGGATGATGTCATACCTTTAGGTGTGCCTGTTTCTCGGATTTACACCCAACGTCCATTGTTTCTGTTGCATACACAAGTTGGTGCCGAATGTCCAGGCAAACAAGCATAATGGGCCTCGCTAGTGGCAAATTGAGGACAAGAAGGGCTATCTTTCAGTCTGGCCGAACAATACCCCGGACAAAGACTGGTGGGGTCAATGGATCTGGGTAAGGGCGCCCCAAGATCAAGAACACCCAAATTACTTCGGTGTGCCGTGGTATATGAGGAAGCTTGACGTTAACATGTCTAGTATCGGTCCTGATGAGTTCACACCTTTGGACCTGAAGCAAATGGAACACTTCGGCCGGTCCACAGTGTGGGGGACCACGGGCCGAATAAAGACTGTTCCTACTACCTGGTTGTCTTGCTGCCACTACATATTCAGTGAGAAGATGCTGGCTGTCGTCGGCCTCAGTCGAAAGTACTAAGGCGGTAAGGAGCTTGGCTGGGTTGAGGACTTCATTTTGTTTTGTTTTGTTTTTTTTTGTTTGCTTTCTTATGTGAGGCTAACTGTCGTTTTACCTTTTCAGTGTTGTACGAAGAGAACTCGGGCATTGATTATAAGGTGCTTGGGATTACCCAGGAGAGGGGTCCGATCACAAATACCCCTAAAATCACTGATTCGAAGGATCGACCTCTCAGCCTGCATGAGAAGAGGCTCCAAGTTGTCAGCGCAGTTGAGTACCAGCAGTAGAAGCATTGGTGGGAGAAGCGTGACCTATTCTTTCTTTAGACTGCTGAAGAACAAGCTACTGCAGCTTGTGCTTCTTCTGCTGCTAGAAATTTCGCTGCCGCTGGGCCTTCTGCTCCTGTTGCCAAGCGAACTAAAACAGCTGCTCCAGGAGCAAAAGAGGGTGAAGACGAAGACGAGCGTTTGCTCAAGACTTTGGTAAACTTTCAAACTTGACTTGTTTGTTGTTGTTGTTTTGTGTGTTTTTTTTTCTTTTTTTTTGCTTATACGGTTTTTTGCCCCCCTGTTCCCTCTTTTGCAGTCTGACGAAGAAGAAGGGAACAAGAGAGAAACTGCTGAAACTGTTTAGGACTCTTCTTCGGACGAAGAGATGACTGGACTAAAGAGGAGGGCCATTATTAAGCCGGGCAGTTCCAGGCGGCTCCCGTTCCTGCAAAGTAGCCTCGGATCGAGGAAGAGACTAGAGAGAATACTCCTTCGCCACCTGAGACTCTAGCCGAGGAAGAGGTTCAGCAGAAGACTCATCCTCCCGAGCCGCAGGTCGTCGTTCAGGAGGATGCATCTGAAGAGAAGGTTCTGCACTCCTCCCTACCTCAGGAAGGGCCCTTTTCCGAGGATATTCAGCGAGAGGCTGACGCCCTTCTGCTTCATCAGCCTGAGGATAATGCAGAGGTTATAAATGACGAGCCAAAGGGTCTCGAAGAGGGAGATCCCAAGAAAAGTGCTAAGGCTGAGAAGGGAACTGAGGAAGTGCCTTCTACCTCACTGAACCAATCCTTTAAAACTTTTCAGTCTACAGACATGGGCTTTGAGTCGGCTCCTCTACTCCATGTCCCTGATAAAATGAGGGAGATCCTTTGGTCGCACCAAGCTTCGGCCGTGGACTTCTTCGGCTACCTATCTAACAAGTTCGAGCTTGAGAAGGCGAGGACTTGGTCTCTTCGGGCTATAACTGGGATAGCCGAGCCTTCTGTAAGGGTTCCTGATTTCTTTGCCGAAACTCAGAGGTTGCTGATGCTGGTAAGGTTTTGATACTTAAGAATCTTTACTTAAGTTTTTTTTTTCCTCTAACTCGTTTGCTTCGGCTGCTCTGTTTTTAACTTGTGCAGGCCGTTCAGAACCACACTTTGGCGGTGGAGATGAACGAGGAGCTGCGGTTTAAGCAGGACGAAGCTGAGGCTAGGGCCAATCTTGTTGAAGCCAAGGCCAAAGCTTGGGAAGAGGAGGTCAAAGAGCTCAAGGCTGCTGCCGGTGAGGCAAGAGATCAACTGGAACATGAGTTACTTCCTCTCACGAACCAAGAAGCTGAGGAGGTATGAGGATGAGGTGATTCCCAGCCTGGAGTCTCCTATCCAAGAGATTCAGAAGAAGGAGACTCAGTAGATGATGGCCGAGGACTTTCGACAAAGGTTCCTCATTGCCGGGGAAGGGTCGCTGAAAAAACAAGCCGAACTGCAGAATGAAATTCAGCGGCTCTAGAACGAGCTGAAGGTGCAGCAAGAAAAGTCCTCTAAAACCCAGTCTGAGCTCAAGAAGGCTGAAGAGCTGTTGAAGGTGCGGATCTACACCGAGGCTGAGTACGCTGAGGGTTATGAGAATGGATTTAACGTAGCTCGGCGACTCGCCTTTCATGCTGAAGCAAGCATCGATTGGGCCCAAGCGGAGATTTGGGCCTCGGATGCAACAGATGTTCACATAGTGATCCCAGCCAGGCCGAGATCGACTTCCTAACTCGCCAAGCTGAGGCTGAGGCCAAAGAGAGGGAGGAGGCTGCAAGAAGAGAAAGAGAAGCAGCTCAAAAGAAGGAATCTGAGAAAGCCCTTGCTCAGCCTGCCTCGTCCTCTGCTGGAGCTGAAGCTTTTGGTGGTCAAGATGCAGCTACTCCTCAGCCCGATCCTGTGAATGCTGAAGCATAGGAACTCGGGCAGTCGTCTACAAAGTCTTGCAGATCAACTTTTTCTTAATTTTAGAATATGCCGCATCTGTTTTTGCCTTTTGAACCGTTTTGCTTCAGCTTTCCTTTATGTACAAACTCTTTATTTTTTACTTTTGAGTAGTTGTACTTAGTTCGGCAGCTGCTTTTATCCGTCTTGTGGACGGCTGCCAATTAGTATTTGGTTTTTTTTGAACTAGGTTTGATGTAGCTCGGTGATCTGAGCATAATTTGCTGCTTCTAATGCATTGTTTTCTTTTCCAATTGCCTTG